TTGATTTGGAGCCCCAGTGAGGCTGCTGCAGGGAGATAGTGGCTGCTCTGTGCCCCGGTTCACTGATAGGGGGCAGTGTGGTCATCTGTGTTGCTTTGCCACCTGTGTGCTGCTATCTAAAGCATTCCTCCTTGTAATTACTTCTGCAAATTTTTAATCCTTCTTATGAGGAGGTTGCCTTTTTTTTTGTGTGCATCCGCAGCCTAAGGAAACACGTATTGACTGTGCATAGTTTGCCCAATTAGAAAGCCTTATCTCAGGTGGACAAAGGGAGCCCAGATCTGAATGTGTGCTCGTAAATCTGCTACAAGACTGCAGCATAATGCCACAATGATCGTTCCCTGCTTTGTGGTAATCTCTGCTTGCATGTACGTCTCTACTGTACGTGCGTGAGAGTCTCCGGTGCAGCGATCTCTAAAGAAAGGCTCACAATGGCAGCGGAGTGGAAGTAGGCTCCTGCAAAGCCCGCGGGGATTTATCTGCCAATCCCGCAACAGCAAACAAAGGTCTCTTAAAGCATTAGAAAACACAGTATATGTTGGCACTCAGCGCACAGAGGCTCGCCCTCCCCTCTTTTGTCCTGCAGGGTTACATACATTATTTAAGGATGTGAAAAAGCAACCCTCGGCGGAGCGTTACACGGCTGAGAGCTGGGACAGAAAGCCGGCGAGGACGTTGGCTCCACTTTCGGGAGTGCTGCTAAACTGAGCCGCGGTCGAAAAGGTGGTTCGGGAGGATGGATGTGAAGGTCTGGCGACGGCAGCGGTGCAGGTCTTTGGGGTGTTAATAAGCAACGTTTCAAAAACCTGCACATCACTTTGGTTGGTTTGGCTTCTGGTAGATGCACACAACAACTCAGATATGATGCTTTTCTGTTTTTCTGTCGATTGTGTCACCTCCAGAGAGTCTCAGTGACGCTGATTACAGTCGATGCATTGTTGGGCTGCAAAGATGTGATCCGAAGAAAAAATCCAAAGAAGCAACTGTCATGTGGTGCCAGCACAGGCTACGAAGGCTGGAGCGCATGAATGCACAGAGCACTCGACATTCTCTCAACGTTTTTGGATCAAAACTACCTTCATTCCATCAGAAACTTTCTGTCCCTCCTGATCACATACAAACAAACCAGATCAGCTTTAAATATCTGATGAACTCGTTGTTTATTCTGATAACTTGACTCTCTGTTTGCTCTCCTGTAAAATTAAACACGATTTCGTTTAATTTAACCTGTTGCAGTTTCAACGAGTACGACCTGGTAGCTCCAAACCTTCTATGATATTAACCGCCAATATTGACTTTCGAGCCTGATTTCAGCTCTTCGGGCTTCAAAGTTTGTTCAGTCTTCATTTATAAAGGCTAATCTTTGCCACTGAGCATCCTGACAGGTGCCACTTTGTGCATCTGGATAACTCGCACGCAAAAAAGTCCCGGGGAAGCGTCACGCGCTGCGACGACAACCGGAAATTGTGACCTGTCAACTTTTATAACAGACAGTCGAGATGTTTATTGGTTATTTCTCTTATATTTATATGTTTGACACAATAATATGCTGCAAAAATGAGTATAAAGTAACTGCTAGCTACTAAAAAAGTCAGTTTTTAGCTAAAACTACAATCCGTCTGAACATGAGCATGAAAAATAACTCCCTGAAGTAGATATTAGGAGGAAATCAAACTATTAAACACACTGACAATGACCTTTCTGCAGATCCCTCCTGCATAGACATGACAGGAAACAGACTGCAAATGCATTTAATGTAAATATCTCTTAAAAACATCATTATGAGGGTTTTCTTTATCCAGAGAAATTTGTGTGTGACTGTAATTGGTTTGGGGACCGAGAGAGGATAAGTGAAGAGAGATACGAGGAGAAATTAAGAAAGCTGCACCGCTCGCCTGTAGCCTGATGGGCAAAGAAAAAAAAAACCTGAACAAAACCGAGAGTTTAATCTCCACACCTTTATTCTCTCATCTCCTTTTCCCATCCTTCCCCTCTGGCACTTTCCATTTTTCTTCCCCTCATCTCTCTCCTGCGGGGGTCAGAGTTCAGCTTGGAGATAAGGGAATTGAAACAGGATCCTCTCTGCCTCTGTCAGACTATCTGCCTGCACACTGCAGCGATCAGTCCCCTCTATCTGTCCCCCAGCACAGGTCTCTGTGATGAGCTCCAGCTGGAGTCATCTCTCCGGGCGCCCGGCGTGCATGGAGATGTCTTGCGTATGAATCGGCGGAGCTTCTGTAGCTAACGCCGTCTCAGATTCCCAACAGACACACACAACACACACACCTACACAAACACACACACACACACACACACACACGCCGTCCTTGTTTTGTCTCTTTTCGTAATCTCCAAGCCTCCAGCTCCGGGGTAACGCCGCTCCCCCGTTACGTCTGTTCCGACTCCGCAAACACGCCTCGGTCCAAACGAACGGACGGATTTCTCGGGCGCAGGTACAGGCAGCTCGAGAATCCGTGATCTGGAGCAGCTATTTGGTTAATGAATGCCACTGTCTGTCAGCGCACTATTTACAGTGGTGTAATGAATGCTAGTGCCGTTCAGAGGGAAAGGACATCTGTGGAGAAGACTCTCCTAATGTCATCTCGGCATGTCAACCAATTATCATGCTTTCTAGTCCAGACACATGCGGCTGCTGCCATGGGAACGGCGGATTGCGAAATATTTCTTAAGGAAAAAAAAAAAGAGAGAGAGAAAGAAAAAGCAAAGCGTGAAAAGCTAACTGACTGTTCCAGCTGGGATGCTCTCAGGACCGCCGCCATAAAACTTTCTGAGAAGTGGCTGCTCGTCTGCTCGAATGCTGACACAGCATCAGCTTATGTTCGTGATTAGTGTGTTGCAGTGAAGCCGCGACTAATGGTCTATCAACGCCGGAGCGCGGTGAGCTCCTGCCGCCGCTTGCCACGCATTGTCAGTTTAATTTAATACTTTGCGTCCCGTGAATCAGGAGTTTTTCAGCAGAAGTTGCAGGTAAGTAACTGCTCAAAACTGAATCATTAGAGAACGGGGATGGCGAGTTCTTCAAGGCACGGCTTCAAAACACAGGCTTCTCATGCACGGCGCAGGCATCCGCTAGGAATGAGAAGAGATATGCATCAATAGACAGATTGATCCATACCCAGGGGAAGATCAATGGGTCATGCTAGAAGCTGTGATCCACAGATACAGAGAGAGAAAGCGAAAATGAGAAGCAGAGGTTCTGCCTGCAAGCAAAGGATTATGGGGCGAGCGTGGCTGATTGCTAAGTAGAGTGAAAGAGCAAAAGAAGTGGCAGAGTGAGTGAAGGATGAGAGACGGGCGGCAGACGAGAGGGAGTGATCAACTGGACGTCTGAGAACGGGAGGAAGGAAAAATAATAAAGATATCGAGATCAATAGGAGGAGAGGACAGACAGAGAGCTGAGGAGAGGAAGGGAGACGTGGCTGCGATTCGTCTGATGATCTTCAGTGAAACATTTCACAGTCAAACACAAATTAGCAGAACAAAGACGGAATAATTAGGACTACACCATCTTTTAGGCATGAAATGAAATTCTTTTACTTTCACTTTGCCTGCCATCCATCACATCTTCCTCTCCTCCTCCGTGCTCGTTCCTCATCTTCTTCCCCGCCGCCGCCGCCGCCGCCGCCGCCGCCCCTCCCGCTGCACCGAGCCTCCGGCGTACAGCGAGCCCGACTATAAACTACAGAGAACAAGCCCAGACGGGGGAAGAACGGGATCCGGGAGGCCTTAACGTTGCAAATGATTTCTCTTCTCACCAAACTAGCTGTTGGATGTCCTCCATTATGTACGTCTGGTGAATGGAGGAGGCTGAATTATTCATGCTATAGCTAATGGCTTAAATGAGATATTCAGAGTAAATTCAAGTTTGACTTCCTGGGGAGCGCCCTGTAGGCACGGCAGTGGGAAAAAAGAAAACGCTGAAACAG